ACATGTGCTCTCATTCATTAGTTCCAATTAAACGAGTACATGTGGTGTTTGTTTTTCCATTCTTGATATACTTCATTTAAGAGACTGATCTCTAGTTCCATCCAAATTGTTGCAAAAGGCATTAATTCATCCTTTTTTATGGCTAAGTAGTACTCCATTGTATACATATACCACATTTTATTAATTCACTCATGAATTGATGGGCACTTGGGTTGATTCCACATCTTTGCAATTGTGAATTGCACTGGAATAAACATTTAAGTGTGGGTGTCTTTTTGATAAAATGACTTCTTTTCCTTTGGGTAAATATTAATACCCCGTAGTGGGATTGCTGGATCAAATGGTAGGTTTACTTGTAGTTCATTGAGGAATCTCTATAATTGTTCTCTATAGAGGTTGCATTAATTTGCAGTCCCACCAACAGTGTATAAGTGTTCCTTTCTCTCTGCATCCACACCAGCATCTATTGTTTTTGGACTTTTTAATGTAAGCCATTCTAAAGGGGTAAGGCGATATCTCAATATGCATTTGCCTGATGATTAGTGACATTAAGCATTTTTCATATGTTTATTAGCCATTTGTCTATCATCTTTTGAAAAGCTTCCCTTCATATCTTTGCCCACTTTTTAGTGGAGTTGTTTTTTCCTTGCTGATTTGCTTTAGTTCTTTGTAGATTCGGATCATTAGCCCTTTACCAAATATGCAACTTGCAAATATTTTCTCCCATTCTGTAGGTTGTCTGTTTGCTCCGTTGATTGTTTCTTTAGCTGTGCAGAAGCTTTTGAGTTTAATGAAATCCCATTTATTTATTTTCATTGTTGCTGGGATTGCCATTTCCTGGCTTTAGTATCAAGGTGATACTGGCTTCATAAAATGAGTTGGGAGAATTCCCTTCTTCTCGATGTTATGGAATAGTTTCTGTAGTATGGGTACCAGCTCTACTTTGTAGTGTGGTGGAATACAGCTGTGAATTCATTTGGTCTCAGGCTTTTACTTGTTGGAAGATTTTTTATTACTGCTTGTATTTTGTTGTTCATTATTGGATTGTTCAGGAATTCTATTTCTTCCTGATTGAGTCTCAGGAGGTTGTGTGTTTTCAGGAATTTGTCCATTTCTTCTGTTTTCTACTTTATGTGAGTAGAGATTTTCATAGTATTCATGGATGATGTTTTGCATTTCTGTAGTATCAGTTGTAATGTCTCCTTTTTAATTTCTGATTAAAGTTATTATACAAAATCGACAGACTGCTTGCTAGAGTAGCCAGGAATAGAAGAGACAGGACCCAAATTATTCTAAAATTTCTGATTATAACATGGTAATAGCATAATTAAAATCCAACTTTTAAAAAATGTGAAGTGATAATTGCATTTCTGTGTTTCAGTGCGCTGGTCCAGTTTGTGACTGCAAAAGAAACAGTGATGTAAGAAAACTCTTTAAATTTCTTTTAGTTACACAATATTGTCTTGTCTTACTCATGCTAAGACTTTAATGATCAAAAAGATGCAGGAATTTTTAATCAAATGCTAAAAAAATGGGAACTAATCAATAGGTATGAATTTGAATTTATATGCTTTTAATTCCTAACTTT